ACTGGTTTTAAAGAAATCAGATATTGCTTATGCAGTTGCTTTAACTGAAGTGTCAGGAGGCAATGCTCCAACACCTGATGGCAATACGACAGATGCTGAACATGCTGTCGTGAACGCTCTTGATGAAGATGAAGGTAATGAATTCCAACTTCCTAATCCTTTGTGTTAATCTATGGGTTGCTGGTATGTATCTAATGCATGGTTGACACGCCTATGGAAAACAATGTGTGGCCTAAGCATTCATTATTTGTAACATTAATTTTGGTTAGGCTTAGAGAACAGGTATGTTTATATTTATATTAGTGTTACTAATGTATACCAATCCTGATTTCTTAGGTGTTGGCGTGTTGCCGCCTAGGTCGCCTAATTGTCGTCTAGGCATCATGGCGTTACATTGGCGCCGGGCCTCGCCTTGGTGCCGTGACAACTATGGCGTAAGCAATGAGACGGTGTATTGTAGCAAGGAGATATGTTTGGTTGTAGGTTTAGATTCGATGGAACACTACTAGATTGAGATATACTCCCTTCCTCCCAAAAAAAGGCTTTTGGTTTGACATGGCACAAAGTTCAAGGAAAGTGAAAATGTGTGGTTTAAAGTGATGCAGAAGAGAGAAAGATTATGCGCCACTCATAATTTTCCAAAAAAGGAAAGAGGAGGCTTTTTTTGGGACGCCTCGGAAAAAAAATGAGTCTTTTTTTTGGGATGGAGGGATGCTTCAAGGCAACTTGGAAGATGAATTTGGGACGGAGGGAGTATTTCAAAATATGACAAAATAAGTAATAAGTTCTTCCACAGTTCTAGGGTGTGCTAAGAGCAAGCGTACAAGATCTCATCCAAGGCCTCTGCGGATACATCATAAGAGAAGAATAAGAAATTATGGTGGATAGAAGAACGGCCTGACCTTGCGTTGGCAGTGAATGGAATGTGCCGGCTATGCATTTAACAAACATGAAACATGAGATTATCACTCCAACAGTTAAACAATATTCTATCACTCCAACTAAACTTTATGAAGTACCAAGATTCAAATCTTAAAAGGAAAAGGGAGTCCTTAAAGCATTACAACTCATAGAAAGACTTGACGAAATACGAACCTTAAATAATACGGAGTAGTAAGCAAATATGTAGGAACATGTGATGCATTTAAGTTGGTTGGGTTCGTGGCTGTGTGGTGGTATACACTATACACATCGCACAAATGGCTCCATAACAACGTGGAAATGCTTTTACCAATTGCTCTAGAAATTTGATGGAGAGCTCAAGCGATCAAGTGACTTCCACGTTATTCTAGCTGCGGTGTATTAGAACAATTCTTAATGACCATTCAACATTGTTCTTGAAAGAAACACATATAATGGTATAAATGTGCAGTTAACAAATGTGTTGGAGTTAATATTATTTGAAACTGAGATTGTATATATAGGAACAGGTGGTGTGCAAATGTGCAATCATGCAACCTCAATCCAAATGCCATCATGACCAGTAGTCTTCAACTATCTAACTTCAATGTTTAATAAGTCTTTGATTTGGCGTCAAAATAAACTGTAGAAATAAAGCATTTCTAGTGTGAATAGCCGAATAGTAGGCAGTAGGCACTCAAAAATAGGCAATTGATGCTGTTCCATTTGAAGACATCGCCAGGCTTCTCTTCATGACTTTTGGGCCAGTAACTAATCACTATTATTGGACAACATTGTCTTCATTCATTTCATCTTTTTTCTAGCCTAGCTGGATATATTTAAAGATGATGGTTTATCATTGTGC